ATATATCATTATAACAGTGAATTCACTTTTCATTTTAATAGAGCAGCATAATAAAGATGCACAGTACACTACCAAACAAGCCTCTGCAAAGAACTCACTATGCAAACTAGCCTATGAGGTAAACATGGAACGTTTTTCAAGAGATGAATTCAAACGTTCAAATTTTCACAAGAAAAAAAATGTTGGTACTAAGCATAATCTTATGTAGTACTCTATATAAGCACATCAAGCAAGTCTCAAAAAGAGGATTCCCCTGATGGTTAAGATGTTTTTTTTTATCAATTTTTATGAGAACGGTATAAGAAAAAGAATGGAAATGGCTGTAGAAGTAATAGATGGTCAAGCGGCTCCAATTTAAATAATGAGAACACTTAGCAGAAATTCTGAAAAAAAAGATCCAAAGATATCTTGATTAACCAAACAGAATACAATATTTGGTATAACATCAATAATCCCTGCTCAAATGCCATTCTCAAGTGGAACCATGCTAAATAAAGAAATATATGGATAGCTTATAATACCTTTTTTTAACCATCTTGGCCATTTGCATAATATAGTAATATAAAAGAATTTACTAGCAACATGAAAGTCATAAGTTTGTTTAATAGGTTCTTCATAAAAGTTTGAAAGGCTAGTGTAAATCAATTGCTCGGGTAACTTATTCTTATTTATATGTTATTAAAGCATTTTTTGAGAATATAAATTTCATTAACAAAAATTCATCACAAACACTATCAATTACTTTAGAAAAGAACCATCGTTCACTATGTGAAATAATCCCAAAATAATCTCCAAATTGAAAGATTTTACTTAGAAGATGGATCATAACTGTATATAAATGTACTTTAGATAATCGGCAGACTAAGGTAAAGTAATTGGGACGTTTTGCTAAAGGCATCTTTTTATTAGATCATGCTCAAATGAATATTGTTTAAGCAAAATACAGTACTAATATAGTTAACTCTCTTTGCAGTAAATTTCTTAATAAATGCCATAGCTTTCATACTTTATATACATGGCTTGCGCTGCAAAAAGAGGGTAAATTGACAAATTTTTAAAAATTAATTTTTTTTATATAAATTAGTTTAGAATAAGGTGAGGATCATTTTTTACTTAAGACACAAAAATAGTTGTATTAATAAAATTATGCAATATAACTCTCCTTTTTGCAGCACAGCCCACATATACCTGTTTTATAAATGTGTGTTATAAAATTTTTCGTATGCTTCGTAGCGGAGAAAACTGTCTACCAGACATTCGATTTTAAGAGATTCTTTAATTTTTTATTTCTTTATTCTGTTTACAGTTTCTTCTTTATACTATACGTATAACAATTTTACATTTGTTATTATCGAGCTTCACTCTAGTCAACTCTTCGGACGTTTTAGTATCTCATTATATTTTACTTTATATTACTAACACTAACTAATTCTCTTTCCCTTTTAGGTTTTCCCACCATTTTACACTACACGATTGTTCTTGATCTCACTACTCTGAAACCGTTTTTATCCATACCCAATTGGCATCTGGTTCTCGGGGTATGATCATCAATTCATTTTTCCTGTGACAGCAGTGATGGCTTTGGTTGATAGCTTTTGGACATTTTTTAACAGCTTTGATGGTTTTGGACAGGGCTTTGTCAATATGAAAAGTTGTCCAAAACATGTCCAAAATTGTCCAAAATTGTCTTTGTTCAATTGCCAAGACTGCGTGACAGTATTTACTGATTTATACATGTTTTTTTTATTAATATATATATGAAAGACTATGCATCCAACATGTGAATAAAAATTTATTGGCTGCCTGATGAAAATAGCGTAATTGCAGACTTAGTTAATCAGGCAAACTTCTATGAGTTGTAAAAACTAATAAATGTCACTTACACCTAATAGTATATATATGAATTTTAGTTGTAGATTTGAATTTTATAGGTAATAGAGTTGGGACACAGAGATATGCTTCAAATCTCCATACGGGCATGAGAGCGTGATGCTAAATCATCACATTGAAATATATTTGATAAAATATTTCATTTAATATCTTTAGAAATAGCGATAGTACATGTTTCTAAAACCAAATTTGTTATAAAATATACAATTGTCCTAATGCTTATTGACTCGAACGGTTAAACGAATAGAAAAATATTATGTAGTAATAAAATTAAAAAATATTGATATATGTATACTAAATTACGATTGTCCAATGTCACAATATACTGCCATTTATACATTAAAAACAACACAATAAACTAGAAAAAAAACTAGAAATTATATATGCAAAACTACCCAAAAATCTAAAAGCGGTCAGTCCAGTGACCGACCAGAAAATAAATATCACATAAGCTTGAAATCTTGAATCTTGATTTACTTCATGTGTCCCTTCATGAAGTATTTCTTCATAAGGTGTTTCTCT